TTCGCTGTAGAGTTTCAGAATTACTTTCTTCTGTGTGTAGACATCCTGGAATAAGGGACTTTTAGATTTGCGCGTCGACAGCTTTGACTGCAACGTGTGACGTCATTTTAAGGCACTGCGCATGCGTTACGTCGTCTCGGTCGGCGATCGAGAATGCGTCAACCTTGATTTCCGTAAATCCAGTACATACATACATACATATTGATATTTATATAGCGCCTTTACATCTCAAGGTACTAGTATGCCGCGTGCGCATAAAATATACAGTTCCTCAGGTAGATAAAGGAACATCCCTTCCCTGCTATTATGTAAAAATGTGTAGAACAGGTGTCACATGCATATTCACCTGTTAAACACACCTTTTCATAATAGCAGTGAAGGGATGTTCTTTTGTTGAGGGTAGAATGAGGAACTGTATATTTTGTCCTCTTTCTTTGTCCGTAATGTTGATAGTGTTACTTCCCGCATGCATGTATATTGTCGATTGCAATCTAAAACATTTCTAATTGTAGTCAACATGGGCAGCTAAGTACGTTGACACGCATGATCAGTCGGCGTTCGTCGTGTTCTCGTCCACTCAATCTAAAAGTCCCTATTTATACGATGATTCTTTACACGACGTTTCTTGTGTGTGGACACCCTGAAATGTATACGATTCTTTATAATACGACGTTTCGTTATAGAGTTTCGGGATAAATTGTTTTGTATGTGGACACGCTGTAATATATTACCTCGTCACCGCAGAAGAATGGTCCCTTGGTTTGAGTGAATAGACTTATAAGGTATTTGAACTGGGGTACCGACACAGTGTCCTTAAACTCCTGCATATTCTTCGCCTGTAAAAAAAGGGGGGAAAGAAAGAAAACAAAATGAACAAGACCGATAAAAGAAAGCGAAACAATCAAATTAATGCAAAATAAATATTTCAAGTAGACGCGATTGAATGAGATTATTTGATTTTATAATAAAGATATAGACGTGAGCAGAATTAAAAGGGAAACCCTACCTCTAAATCAAGTCGCAATAATGGACAGCAGAGGATTCAGACCAAAAAAAATGGACTGGTTACAAAAATGGATTATTAGCATCTGTAAATGGATAACATTTTGCAATATAGGCTGACGTCTGATCGGTCAAACAATATTCTGAATAAATTTCATTTTTTTCATGAAGTCACCCCCCCCCCCTCCCCTCACTTTCTTCTGTCTGTGTTAATGCTTTTATCATGAACATGACATTCATTCACGCTCTTACCTTCTTCTCCTCATCCTTATCGTAATAGATGGGATAGATTTTCTGGATGATGTCGTCCACGCTTTCGGACACCAGTTCGATGACGTTCGTCTGCTCATCGGTCTTTCCATAGTAGCCTGTACACATTTAAAAGGGCGGATATTAATGATGTTGGTAATAATAATAATAATAATAATAAGAGATAATAACAATGATAATAATAATAATAATAATATCAAGAAGAAAAAGATCAATAATGATAATAATGATAATGATTATAATAATAATAACTATGATAACTCGTTTACCCAGGGAAGCCATATCAGCATCAATGCTGTTCTTCCTGAGAGACCTGCAATTATTATCACCCCAGCACTTGCCAGGCACCCATTTATACCTGGGTGGAGAGTGGCAAATGTCAATTAATGTTTTGCCAAATGACACTGGGCTAAGATTGGAACCATCAATATAGTCTTGTATTGAGAGTCAATTTACCATACCAAGACACCTTCACATCTTTCAGAATCAATCGAATCCCTGGCGTAGCCATACCTTTTAGAAAAGGGGAGGGCAAAGACAGGGGTGGCACACAAACGTACAAAATAATTCATATAGTTCCCTCGGTGGTGGATGGCCTTCTATTTTAGCGGATAAACAGGGTGTACTGCCCCATTGTGCCCCCCCCCCCCTTTAATGGCTACGCCTATGATTTGAATTAAGGGTTCTGATTCGGAACGAGATCAAGAAGGTTGATTATTATCATGTTTATCATGTCCTATTTAGAAGCATCCTTAAGACATCTCACAGTCTTAAAGAGATATACATTTCCGGCATTTTGGGAAACTCACCGAGGTTTCTGGCAAGGTAGCGATTGATAGCCTTTCCATGAGGCATGGTCTTTCCATCAATGATGAGAATTGGCACCTGGCCGAGGGGGAACACTGATGAAGATAAAAGTGGAGAAGATCGAGGAGATAGGATTGATACGGAGGAGAAGGAGTGACGTAGTTGAGGAGAGATAAAAACAAGAATGCAAATCATTAAAAGTTAATAGAAAGATAGATGGAGAGATGAAGGGAGAAGGGAAATATGGATACAAAATAAGGGAAAGAGAAAAGATAGAGGAATAGAGGAAGACAAAAAAATTATTTAAGGTACTTTATTGTGATGGTTGATTTAAAAAATCTGTTGAATCAGGATGCAAAACACGTAAAATTATGTCCGAAATTAATTCACGCAATATGAGGATTTTTAACAAAGTTCAACGGGTTTTCGAACGGGCGTCGATGTGCGGCGCTTCTGAATCTAAATTCTCCCAACCATTTTTGAATTTTCCCAACCGTTTTTCAATGAAAAAAAGACATAAAACAGGCTATAAAAAATCTGTCAACACTTAGGGTGCGTTTAATCGACACTTTTTCACCCTAGAATCACGGTTTCTAAAGACGTTTAGTTTAAAACGCAATGCGTTCAAGCGATTTTTTCGTCGGTCGTAAAAATAAACGTGTTTGAAAACACAAACATGAAACGCTGAAAAAGATGCGTTTTGTATCATGATTCTACAGAATCACGGTCGCTAAAATTCGATTGAACGGACGGAGTTCTCAATCATGATTGTATGACGGAGCCTGTTCCGGTTTGGGCAAAAACCGCGCGCCTGCTTTTCATGCAATTTGCGTTTACTATATGCTCTTTATCATGGCCTGTTCTGTTATGTTATACCTTGTTTTCCTCTTTTTCTCTTTCTGTCTTTCCTTATGTTATTCTTTGTTTCTTCCTTCTATTCTTATGTTATTCTTTGTTTTTTTTCCTTCTATCACCTTCTCTTATGTTATTCTTTATTTTTATAATTCTATCACTTTCTCTTTCTGTCTTTCCTTATGTTATTCTTTGTTTCTTCCTTCTATCACCTTCTTTTATGTTATTCTTTGTTTTTTACCTTCACTTACAGTCTCTTATGTTATTCTTGGTGGTAAATCAAGTCTTTATTAGAGATCATGTACACAAAAACCAGGTCCGTCAACCCAGAGGGTTAGGCGGCATGTTATTATTCTTATGTTATTCTTTGTTTTTATAATTCTATCACTTTCTCTTTTGTTATTCTTTGTTTCTTCCTTCTATTCTTATGTTAATCTTTGTTTTTTTCCTCCTATCAGCTTTTTTAATGTAATTCTTTGTTTTAAGCATTCTATCACTTTCTCTTTTTGTCTTTCCTTATGTTATTCTTTGTTTCTTCCTTCTATTCTTATGTTATTCTTTATTTTTATAATTCTATCACTTTCTCTTTCTGTCTTTCCTTATGTTATTCTTTGTTTCTTCCTTCTATCACCTTCTCTTATGTTATTCTTTGTTTTTATAATTCTATCACTTTCTCTTTTGTTATTCTTTGTTTCTTCCTTCTATTCTTATGTTAATCTTTGTTTTTTTCCTTCTATCAGCTTTTTTAATGTAATTCTTTGTTTTAAGCATTCTATCACTTTCTCTTTCTGTCTTTCCTTATGTTATTCTTTGTTTCTTCCTTCTATTCTTATGTTATTCTTTGTTTCTTCCATTTATTCTTATGTTAATCTTTGTTTTTTTCCTTCTATCAGCTTTTTTAATGTAATTCTTTATTTTTATAATTCTATCACTTTCTCTTTCTGTCTCTCCTTATGTTATTCTTTGTTTCTTCCTTCTATTCTTATGTTATTCTTTATTTTTATAATTCTATCACTTTCTCTTTCTGTCTTTCCTTATGTTATTCTTTGTTTCTTCCTTCCATTCTTATGTTATTCTTTGTTTCTTCCATTTATTCTTATGTTAATCTTTGTTCTTTTCCTTCTATCACAGTTTCTTATGTTATTCTTTGTTTTAATCATTCTATCACTTTCTCTTTCTGTCTTTCCTTATGTTATTCTTTGTTTCTTCCTTCTATCACCTTCTCTTATGTTATTCTTTGTTTTTATAATTCTATCACTTTCTCTTTTGTTATTCTCTGTTTCTTCCTTCTATTCTTATGTTAATCTTTGTTTTTTTCCTTCTATCAGCTTTTTTAATGTAATTCTTTGTTTTAAGCATTCTATCACTTTCTCTTTCTGTCTTTCCTTATGTTATTCTTTGTTCCTTCCTTCTATCACCTTCTCTTATGTTATCTTTGTTTTTATAATTCTATCACTTTCTCTTATGTTATTCTTTGTTTCAATCATTCTATCACTTTCTCTTTCTGTCTTTCCTTATGTTATTTTTTGTTTCTTCCTTCCATCACCTTCTCATTCTTTGTTTTATTATTGCAATCTATGCTCAAAACAGCAGTCGACAGTCGGCCGTAAACAATTCCAAAAAGCGCGCGCCGAAGTTGACCTATACTTCCTGGGTCAAACTGCGAGTGTGATCCGCAGTGGCTGGGCTCGAAATGAGCTAGAATCACCGTTGATGAAAAATCGCTTGAACGCTAACCGCAGTGACCTTGTTTTTTGTAACGGCGTTTTGATTTGTGATTCATGTTTGTGATTCTAGCTTCGAAAATTCGATTGAACGCACCCTAAAATGTCTGGAATGGAATGTAGAGCTATTTTATTGCTTTGTGAGATTTTCATTCACCTAAAATGTAATTAAATTGTAATAATATAGTTGGGAGAATTAAGGAATCGATCGGATCAGTTTTTCCCAATTTGTACCATGAATAAAGGTCCGTTTTCGCTCAAATTTTCAGATTATCTTTAATTGTACATCCAACATTGAAGTCACTGCCTTAGCACCACTATCTCTCATCTGAACAATGTTAACAAGTCCCTTTAAAAGGGACAGAGACGGAGAAAGAAATTGATCTTTGAATTTGAAATTCAACAGCAATAATCTTCAACACTTTAATGTATTTTGGTGTTACGTAACAATTTTACAGTTTGATTGTTTATCACAGATTTGTCTATCTACATATTAATGAACGGCAGACTTTCATGGTCAAGCAGTACTCAAATAAAAGGTGCCCGATCATACAAATATTATGTAATAAACAAACATGAAATGGCTAGTTTTATCAGATCCCTGGTTTTATACTATAGGCTGATTAATATGACTTCTAAGAACAGAGTTCAGGACAAACTGCAGTGGGTTACCCTCCCCCAAATCACTCTATAATGTATGTGTTTTTTTAAAGAGTAACAAAAACCTCTCATTTTGTTTATATATAAGTACATGGGTATAATAATTTCGATTATTTTAGGAGCAGATGAACAGATGAAAGAGAATAAAGAATAAAATATCTCATTTACGCAATCAGTGGACTGTGTTAAATGCGGAAACATACTAGTCAGAACAAAATAATATGCTGATTATACAGACAATCGGGTTGAGAATTATGAGAGATGATGTGGGAATTAATATGGGAAATTCTATTTTCATTATTTCTGCAACTTAAACACACGTTAACCATCTTTTCTTACTTCACTTAGAATCAATGTTTGCAATTTATGATGGTTACTTCACAACAAAAACGGTGGTTCATAATCATAAGTCTGACCCATAGCTAAGGGATCGCATATTTGATATTGAAGCCTGGTTCACCATTTTACGCCATTCTCTAGTTCTTTGTATTGTGTTTTATTGAATATCAAATCGCAAAAAAAAGTATTCTAGTCGTCAATAGATGAAGAAGTAAGTGGGAATAATCAAGAATACTCGCAAGTTGATGATTTATGTTGCTGTTGTTCTTGTTGTTGTTCCTCTTCTTTTTCTTCTTCTTCTTCTTCTTTTCCTTTTCTTTTCTTCTTCTTCTTCTTCTTCTTCTTCTTCTTCTTCTTCTTCTTCTTTTTCTTTTTCTTTTTCTTTTTCTTTTTCTTTTTCTTTTTCTTTTTCTTCTTCTCCTTCTCCTTCTTCTTCTTCTTCTTCTTCTTCTTCTTCTTCTTCTTTTCCTTTTCCTTTCTTCTTCTTCTTCTTCTTCTTCTTCTTCTTCTTCTTTACTCACTTTCTGTGTTGTCCTTCATGGCTGGCCACTCTTCTCGTTTCATCCGGCAATCCTCAAACTCCACCCCCTTGAGAGTGAAGAGCATTCGAATGACCTCCGCCCTTCCACGAGCATCAAAGTACATCAACTTATACTGCGGCATCTTGGTGAAGTGGTGATGGTGGTATAGTGGTAGAGGTGGTGGCACGTTGTGGTACGTGGTGATGGTAGTGGTGGAGTGACTGCTGTTGCCGGTGTTGGTAGTCGGAGTGGTGGTGTTCTACTGGCTACTGGCGTGGCATGTGTGCGTTCCTGTCTCAGAATCCAAGGATGCATACTAGACCTAATTCTTTCATAAAAGCCTTATCTTTTGAATGAGTTCAAAGTCCTAAAGTCCTGATTCTAAGCTGGCTTCACATAAGTTTTATAAATGTCTTACGTAATAATGCTTACAAGAACCCACATACACAAATAAAGGAGTGTTTACACTGCACAAACATTGTTACATTAAATAACGCAAAGACTGCAGAAAATGTAAATGGGCGACCAGAAGGCAAACTTCTTTATTAGTGGATAGGACCTATTTGTTAAAATTGATATGAATTCCATATTAGAAGCGCAATAATAGATCCAGGGGACACGTAGAAGTGTTGTGGTATAGTGGATACGTCTCAGCACTGTGAACTACGGGGTTCGAATATTTCCTACAGCATTAACGTCCTTTGACAAGACATTGATTCTGCATTTAATTGCCACACTCAACCCAGGTACAGTAAGTGCATGGGTACCTCGCAGGCAGCTAGGAAATAATTCCTTAAAATGCTATATTTAGAGCGCCATAATGGTCAGCCATGCTATAGCCGGGGTATTAATTATCGTGAAGCGCCAGGATATATGTCTGACATACATGAGCAAAACATAAGAACCGACAACTATCGTTATTAGCACTGTGAATATGACGGACAAAGAAAGAGGACAAAATATACAGTTCCTCATTCTACCCTCAACAATTGCTGTGGTAGACAAAGGAACATCCCTTCACTGCTATCATGTAAAAATGTGAAGAACAGGTGAATACTGTCTAGCTCCAAGCGCTTCACAGATATTCAAAGTATGCTGTCCACTAATGTTTACTTGTTCAGAAGTTGGCCTGTAGGGCCCTGAAATTTGAAGTTGATGACCACTACATGTACCTGCAGCATTAGAGAAAGTTACTTTGCTCCCATAATCCAATTTGTCTAGATTCTAATATGTTTATTTTCGCCCTGTATTTAATACACAATCGTTTACTACAGTTCGGCAGTTTGGATGCACCTCTTCATCGGGCCAATATGGATCTATTGTGTTGCGCTGTGATTGTATGAAACCGTCTTATTTTGTTCAAGCAAAGAGCTCCATGGTTTAAGTAATTTATTACATTTGTCACCAGGCTTAAAAGGAGGGTTTCCTAAAAAATCTGTTCGGCAAGCTTTGTTGTTTGGAGTATCCGCCCATTGAATTGCCCCGCACCCAATCCTGGTCTATTGTCCACCCTTCCACCCCCAGGGGACAGAATGAAGAGGTCATCAATGACGTCTAGGGGTCAACTTAAAGGAGATAGTCTCCTTACCAGGCTTATCTAGGCCTTGGCCAATGTTATTGAGGAGGGGGCTGGAGGAACAAGTAAAAGATATCCTGATTATTAATTAAATTCTCATGATAGAGAATAGCTCCATAACGTCTGCATATCAGAGCATACTTGACTGGCTTTCCTGCCAAACTTCGCATCATTTTTTTTTTTTTACTTCTCTTTCTCATTTTCCCCGGCATTTTTTATTGTCACTTCTCAATAATATTACTACTCCCAAACATACAACTTTATTGTGTCATAAATGAGTTAGGCCTAACTTATTGCTTTACAGACTTAGAATTAACTTATTACAAAGTGTTTTGATTTTAGATTTTGAACATTTTATTTTCAATTTGGGATAATATCGTTGGCAGAAGCTTATATGTGCCATTTCCCAACATCAGGATTCAATATTTAATCAGAGTCCAAGTAGATGTGATCCTTTAAAATGACAATCGTCCTCCTCCATAAAAAGTCTTCTTGTTTTGTCTTTGTTCATAGATATCTCAATAAGGTACAGCATATTCCCCGGTTCATAATAATTTCCTCCAAATAACATGCTTTTATAGACGGTATCATACACTTCTAAAATAAATATACAGCTAGTTCAGCTTTGCTGAAGTGTAATGCCTGGCTTGGAATGTGAAATATTTACTTTCTTCTGATAAAAGAGTGGGAAAGAAAAGCAGAAAATCATTTGAACAAGAGCTGCATAGTCACCAATTGGGGTCTCTTTATTAATTAATTAATAGGTATGATTAAAATTGTTTCTTTCTTAACATTGAGCTATGATTTGGTTCCATGATATATCAACCTAACACACAGAAAAATAATCATCATTATGCTTGAAACATTCAAATTTGTTTTTGAAGTATCTTAGTTCATATTCTTGTACTTTTAGATAAACACTTTCATTTTCAATCGGCATACTTTCATTTCACTTAACTTTTTAAATAATTTTTACACTTGGTTCTTTGAAATATGGTGGATTTTAAAACAAATGCTGCGAGAGACACGAGACAGTTAGACACCGATATGTATCTGGTGTTACTTTGATAAAGCATATCATCTGTCTGTTTATCAGATTTATGGTCAACAAAACCTCTTTTTAGAAGTTTGAAAGAAAGATGAAGTAACTTTTGCGAACAATATTATTTTGTTCCAGTTGCCATGTACTAAAGAGTGATGTGGTCGTTTGTGAAATGCTTGTATAGTGTTTATTCTCTATCTCATATCATATCTTGAGAAGTTACTCTATTTACTTCCCATACAATGGAAGTCCCCAAAGAACACGTTTTAGCAACATAAGTAGTCATATTTGTCAATCCTGGATGAAAGTATCATAATTTAATAATGAACAATTCTAAAGTGCTCCATTTTTGTTTAAATGTTGGCTTTTGTTGCTGATGTACTTCCACTTGTGCAAACTTTTTTTTTAATTTGGCCTTTTGTACAGCTCCAGCCTATCACCAAACTTGATGGACAACTATTACAACAGCTTCTCTTTGTTAAGTTACAAATCATGCCTGTAAATTCTATAATTCAGTATTGTATACAATTCTTCCATACATGTTTTTTTTTTTTTGCTATGCCAACTGCCATGCCATCATGATTGGAAAAATCGTTCTTTTAAATTCATTATAGGGTACTTCTGATTTTAAAGTCAAATGGCATGTTGAAACAGATTTGTGTGATGCTTCTGTTTTTATCACATTGATCTGTAAGCAAAGCTACCCTGTATTCCCGCATTCATATTTGGCTGTAGATTTATTCAGAATGTATATCTTGAGGAATTGTAGCTCATGCAGAAATCTTGATTTGACAATTATGATCTTGATGAATAAAATGGCAGTTCAGTCAATATTATAATTCTAATTGCATTGATAGCCATTATTTCTTAGTTTGTATCTCAGGGCAGTTTAAGATTACAGTAAACTTTTTTAGGCTACAATTAGGCTTTATATTTTTATATAGTATTTTTGAGAGTGAACAGTTGTGTAAGGAAGAGAAAGACTAGCAAGTAGTGAAAAAATGAAACATTGTGAATGTGGGAAGTTGAAAGGAAGAATAAATATATGGAGTCAAATGAGCATTCGATTAGTGATAGAAGATAGGGTGATGAGTTTTGCCAGTGTAAATATGACAGTGAAAGCAAAAGAGGATAGTAGACACTCGGGGACAAAGAGGGAGAGAGGGTTGAAGTGAGAGATAGATAGAAATAGATAGAGGGGTGAAGAGAGTCAGACAGACAAAACAATTAGAAGGGGAGAGAGAGCGAGAGAGAGAGAGAGGAAAAAAATGAATACAGAGAGATGGAGAGGTGTGGAGAGAGAGAGAGAGAGAGACAGTCAGACAGACAAGAGAATGAGAGAGAGAGAGAGAGAGAGAGAGAGAGGGATAGAAAGTGTTGCAATGTTGAGGATCATAGTAATAGAGAGAGATTGAAAAAGAATTCAGACTTATACAACACACTTATGAGCGATTCCTATTTGCATAAAGATTAAAATGAAGTCCTGAACATTTTAACTTGATATTAAGCAAGCATGAATTATAAATTTTATGAGATACATGTGTAATAATGAGCTACAAGCAACAATCTGTCTCTCCTCTCTCTCTCTCTCTCTCTCTCTCTCTTCTCTTTCTCTCTTTTCTTCATTTTCTCTTTGCATTTCTTCCCCTCTTTTCTCCCTTTCCCTTTTTTTTTTTGGGGGGGGGGGGGGGGGGGAGGATTTCCGAATCCATGTACAATATAGTCTCGCTGGGAATTCCCACGCTATATTAATTTTGCTGGCACTTTGATCGTGTTATCCATGCGTATCAAAAATTAATGTTCTACACTATACTTCCACACATCATGATAGCATACATTCAGCCATACATTAAACAGTGCTAAAAATACAGTGTTACATTCTCAACAACGTAACTTTGTCGAGAACAGCACGAACAGACATTGCATGATGGCCAACAGTTTCAGATCTGGACTGTCTAAAAAGGTAAAAAATAATGCGTGTTTGTTTTTCACCGACATAGTTTGGTTAGTTGGCCTTTGAGTTTCTTATTATTATTTATTATTTATTATTTTCTTGATATTAGTGGTGGTTATTTTGTATTTTTTACCTGACTGCTAAGAAAGCATAAAATGCTTGGTAGTATTAAAGCAACCAGAGGACCGACGGCTTTAAGTACTCTCCGGTGAACCTGGTTATGAGGATTAATGCCTTATACCAAAGGGCACTAGCGCATTGACTTGGTTTCGAACCCTGGTCGCCGGATTACGAGACCACTGATCTACCGACTGAGCTATCGCGCCTCCACTATTGATAATGTCTGGACTTTTAAAATGTTGATTGGTATTGGTATTGGTATTTCACTGTTGATAGTAAATGCCCGCAAACGATGGACCTTTGGTCAAACACTGCACGATTTTGAGAGACAGAAGAAGAACAAAATCAAGTTTGTATGTTTTGTAGGCTAACATAAAATTACGTATAGGCCTACTGTATACATTATATATACAGTATATATCAATTTCTATGTATTATTCATACAAGTCGTAAGGAAGTAACAAGTAACCTGTTAAACATAGTTGGCAGCCCTCGTGGAAATAAATACAATGCTTAGAACGGTATTAGAACACCAACACCAGACACAGTGCTGACACTATGCAAGAATCCACCATCATTATCATCACCATTAAAAAGGATTATCCTACTCCCAGTAGTGGA